ATGGTAATTGACTTCTGTGTATTGTTTACCTCAAACTGACTTGAAGACACACTGTTGTTGTTATTTATTATTTATTATTATTTATTATTATTAATTTACTATTATTACTATTATTACTATTACTACTATTACTACTACTACTACTACTACTACTACTACATACAGGGGCTATGCAAGGATTCTTTTTCAGTGTGACTGTAGCTTATCCAGGTATAGAACTGGCCAAGCAATACAAAACTTTACAAATGTGTTCAGTCAAATGCACCTACCAGCCCCTATTCAGATGTTTGCATTCAATGTGCAAGGATATGGAGACTTCCAGCTTGACGTCGCGACGAGACAGCAGCAGGAGGACAGAGCTCTGTCCCCTGGGCTGAATCCTGACCTTGTTCGGGACACCGTAGGGTGTCGGAACCACCCTGGAGGGGTGGTGAACCGGGGGGGAAGCCTGTTGATCACGGGGGGGGGGCGGCGGCCACCCCGTTCGATCCAGGAAACTCCCAAATCAGTGAACGGGCGGAAACAAGCAGCTTCGGCTTGCTTGCAAGTCGCTGGCAGCCGGCCAAAGAAGCAAGAACCAGCCTTTTGACATCGAACATAGGGATGCAGAGCTTGTATGCTCACCCATGTTCCATCCACTATATCATCATCCACAGGAAAGGTGAGCAAAGTGCCTCCTCTGGGCTGCATATGGTCCCCCAAAGCTGTTTTTTTTTTCACCTCTGTATCTCCTTCTTTCCAAAAAAATAAAATAAATAAATAATAAAAAAAATCTACCAAAAAGTTCTTTTTTAAAAAATTATTTTAGTCCTCAAACCTCTGACAACAACAGGCAGCTCCCTAAACCCACCCAAACCCCAAACACGCAAAAATGAAATTGGTGAGGGACTTCCAGCAACATTCAGTTTTCAGGGCTGGCACAGTCCTCGGTGGGTCTCAGGGGTGATAAATTGTCCCTTGGACCCTTCAACGTTGTTCAGCCCAAGTCTGCAGTCATCTTTAAATCAAGGTTCTTCTTCTGCTGATATATAATCAATTGTATGTGTTTTCCAGGAGGTGATGAGTACTAAATGAGAACAAACACTTCTGATAGTTGAAAAAAACATATGGAGCCGGATCCCTGAAGATCCTCTTATCCAAGTAGCAAGAAGCCATGCTTTCCCTTGCAGAACGGCTGAGTCAGACATCCTTGTTGCAAAGCAGGAGATGTTCATCCTCTAGATATTTTTGCTGCAGTTGCAAGCTCAATTAATCTCAGAGTACCCTAAGGCAGAGGTCGTCAACGCCCGGTCCGTGAGCCGGTGCCGGTCCATGGCCTGAGCTGGACCAGGCCGCGAAGACAGACCTCCCCTCCGCATGCACTCCCCTCCCCACAGCTGCTTTGCGCATACATGTGTGTGCCAGTGCTGGTGTGAGTGCTCCCCACCCCTTCATGCATGCGCCCGAGTGAAGGGGTGGGCATGTGGATGGGTGTGCAGGCACTCCTGTGCATGCATGAAGGGGTGGAGGAGTGCTTTCACCAGTGCTGGTGGGTGCATGCGTGCTCCTCCACCGCTGTGCACAGGAGCCCGAGTGCCTGCGCCCGCAGGGGTGTGTGCCCTGCCTCCCCCAGAGGTTCAGTGGGTCCGCAGTCCCAAAAAGGTTGGGGGCCGCGCCCTAAGGTGATACTGTGGTATTTTGACAACTGGAGTGTTGGGGCAGAAAGTCACAGATGCAACACCTTTCTTTGTTGTTGTCATTGCTATTCTTTGTAATACCTGAAATGTTTCCTCAGTGGGTAATATGTGACAAGCGCTTCATGACAGAAGTGCAGATGAGGAATAAAATTAACATCAAGTACAGCAGCCTCCCTCACTAGAGACTGCTCAGCACGATAGTAAGCTCACACATCCACGTCACCCTCCCCCAAGAGCCTATAATGAGAGTAAGAAAAAGAGCATAGGGATAAATAAGAGCACACTTTAATTTGTGACTGCAGGCACACTAGCACAGCAGTATGGAATTGTGTTCCATCACTGACTGCAGGCGGGATAATGATCAAAGATTCCTTTCTGCCCTCATCTATTTTCAAGGACACAAAAGGGGTGGGGTGGGGACAGATGCTTAACAGTAAGAACATATGTTCCACCTGGGATTTCACCTACACAATTTAGTTTTATAAGGAACAAGAAGAAGCACTTCCAGCAAAGCAAAGAAAAAAAGAGACTTTAACCAGATTGTTCCCAACCAGTTTTTTTGCATCTCTTTTGCATACAGTATGTGTGTTTATTTATTTATTTGCAGCATCTATGCTTTCTAATCAGTGTATCAGTCTTTTTTATTTGACAGAACATGTACTGTAGTTGGAAATGTTAAGGATTTTTTTTTAAAAAAGGACTGAATGCATCAAACCTAGACCTAGCCTTCTCTAAAAAATAATCCAGTGAGATCAATGGTCCTTAGTCAGGAGTAATTTTAACCTAAGTCCCATTGATACTCTGTATTGACCATGCCTAGAGCTACTAAAATTAGCTATGGTTTAAGATGTGTTTTTGATGTAGTTTCCATTGTTTCAGACCCAGAAACAAATTTACGACATTGTCGCACTCAAATTTACCAAAAAGGAAAGAGGCTGCATTAGTACATAAGAATGGAAATCTAAAAGCCCCACATAGACAATACCTTTATGAGGGTTAACTCAAAAGCTTGCATATTTTGTGAATGAATAATTAAAACTAATAAAGATATTGCATCTATAGATTTTGCTCAAATTTATATCTCCTTCCTTCCTTCCTTCCTTCCTTCCTTCCTTCCTTCCTTCCTTCCTTCCCCCATAGGGACCATCGCAAAGCGATCGCTTTTGTGATGGCAAAAAGTCCATCGCAAAGTGATTTTGACGCTATACGGAGCAATTCCTATGCAAGGCACTACTGTATGTATGTATGTATGTATGTATGTATGTATGTATGTATGTATGTATGTATGTATGTATGTATGTATGTATGTATGTATGTATGTATGTACGTACGTATGTATGTACGTACGTACGTACGTATGTACGTATGTACGTACAGGATTGACAACACTAGTATGGCACAAGCTTTTGAGTTCACCCTATCACAGGCCTGAAATGAGATGACAAAAGATAGTGATGCCACCGATGTAAGCTGGCATCGGAGACTTAACAGTTTAGCCCAGAACTGGAGGATGTTCGCACTACCATATGTTTGGGGTTAAAACTCCCACAAGTGCTTAACAGTGGCCATTATGACTAGGGTTTTTTGGGGGTCAAAATCTAAAGCATCTGAAGGCCCAGTTTCCCATCCCTGAAATAATATAACATATTAACATCTTATTTCAGTTCATTATATTGTTGGCTGAGAGAGTAACAACTGTAAAGTGTCATGCCCCTTAGATCAGTGATCCCCAGCCTTGAGTCCCTACACAGTCTTGATCTTGGATTAAAACTCCCAGAAGCTCTTCATCACTAGCTGTGCTGGCCAGGATTTCTGTGATTTGTAGTCCAAGAACATCTGGGGATCCAAGATTACAAACTGCTACTTTAGATTATCAGGCACTTGGAATGGGCAGCTCAGCTGATTTAGGAGTACGCTTGTCCCTGGAACCTCTCTGTTCAAGCCACAGGAATCTCTTAGGAGACCTGTGGGCTGACAGACAGAACTTTGCTGACCAGTGCTGCTCTTTATAGCATCTGACATAATTAGGGTCTTGGATGGATGAACATATTTTCCTGATACTCAATGATAACAGACATGTTTAGGATCACACAGGTGAGAATGGCTTCCCTCATTAAATCTCTAAGTAGTGGAATCCATGACCTCTCATCTCAAACTGAGCCAAGTTGTGATGAAACTGAACCAGCCATCTTGCTGAAGTGCTGCCCTGCTGACTGAGGATCAAATTGTTCATGCCTTCTGACAAGCGCACGTAACCATTAAACAGAAGTTCATTGTGGAAAATCATTGATCTCTGACTGGTATTTGCCCTTGGATATTCTACTTTCACAGTGTCACTGAAGCGACCATAATGAATTTGACCAAACTCTGGGAGGCAGTGGAAGACAGGAGGGCCTGGCGTGCTCTGGTCAATGGGGTCGGGAAGAGTCGGACACGACTAAACAACAAAAATTCTACTTCCAGGTAAAAAGCATTTTGAGAGGCAAAAGCCAATCAGAAAGGAGCTATATTCAGAGGATAATCACTGGGAGACTGTGATTCAAATCAGAACACATTTTGGATTTGAAGCTCATCAACTGCCTTCTCTTTAAATAAACTACAGTTATTTAAAAACATGAAAAACATCATATATTGTTTGGCCCCAAAAGCACTTTGAAGTGCCCAAGAACACACTTGAGCTGCTTATACCCATGAAGATAGGCCTTGAATGAACACTCAATTTCAACTACACCATTTTATTCCAGAAGAATGATTTTGCTAGCCCACATTCTACCTTTCACCCTACTGTAAAAGTTAGGCACAATTCTTTGAACACTGACTGCCTAGATCAGTTCTATTATTTTGGGGAATATAAATCTATTATTTTCTTTCAGGTTTCGAAGTAGCACTATGGGAACCAATACATGTATCTTGTGTGACCGGGATGATCACTGATTTCATCCAGCAGGCAAAGATACCTCATCTTCATTCAGAAGGTATAGTAGAGGTTTATAGCTGCTTACCTTTTACGCAGGACCGAAGGTCAGTTGGAGTATTTGAAGAAAGTGGTGGCACCCTTACCATTCCTGCTCGAAATGAAGCCAGGCAGTCTGCAAAAGTATAAAAAGGCTGCAAACGTGATGCACAATAAGTGCTAGAACCACACTCTCGTATTCTCAGTAACTGATATCCAAGCTACATGTTTAACTAGGTTACACAATTCTTCTTTCAGTGTTGCTTCAGATTGCAAATCAGTGAATCTATATTTTAATGATTAATATAAGATGGAGAATAGTTTCAGATAGCCTTCTTCCTTCTATCTAGCTTTTCATCATCCTCATTGTAGAACTGCAGAGATGGAAAGGACCCTAAGGATCATTGGTTCCAGCCCCTGTCAAAGAGGTATAGTGGAGAATTGAACTTCCAGCCTCTGGCTCCGCAGCCAAATACCTAAACCACTGAGCTATCCAGCAGTTCTACAACAGTAAGTGAAAACTGCATTCACCTGCAGTCTGAAGTTCTGCAGCCTAGAAGATGCAGTGGGTGAAGCGGGCTGCAGCCCACAAAAACATATGGCCGATAAACCTGTTGGTCTTCTAAGAGAACTCTTTGTTAGTTTTACTGCAACAGACTAATATGTCTACTCCAGTGCAAATTTCAAATTTCATTCTGGCTTCAGACCTGGATATGAGATGGAAACCACTTTGGTCATCGTGGTGAATGACTTATACTCAGAACTAGACAGAGGAAGAGTATCCCTTTTGGTTCTGTTGGACCTCTTGGCAGCTTTTGATTCCATCAGCTATGGTATCCTTCTGTCTCATCTCTCTGAGACAGGAGTTGGAGGCACTGTTTTTCAGTGACTCCAGTCATTCCTGGAATAGCAAACTCAGAAAGTGCTTGCTTTGGCCTGTGCTGTCACAGAGGGTTCTGTTTTGTCCCTCGTGCTGTTTAGTATCTACATGAAATTATTGCCCAGAGATTTGAAGTTCAGTATCATCAGTATGCAGATGACATCAAATGTGACCTCCTTTTCCCACCTAACTCCAAGGAAGCTGTTCCTGTCCCAAGTCAGTCTCTTATGGCAGTGATGGACTGATGAGAGCAAACAGATAGAAGCTTATTCCAGACAAGACAGAGATCTTCCCAGCCAATCAAAATGCAGATCAGGGAGCAAGGGTTCAACCTTTTCAGGTTACACTTCCTCTGAAAAACGAGGCCTGAAGTTTAGGAATAAATAATCAGTACATTGCACATGCACTGTCATACTGTAACCTGCAGGATTCTTTCCATGAGTGTTCCCCACAGGCCTGCTACATCACAGGGAAGGAAGCCAACAATCATGTGGGGAAACTCTCCACACAGTCAGGTAAGCAACTATGGTATTGACACATATGCCTCAGCCTGAGAGAGAATACAACAGAAAGGAAGCTTCTACATGGTGTATGTTCAGATCCATGTTTCAATGGAAGAATTGCTTCCAAAGATATTCTGATGTGGTGTTTCTTTGTCCACAGAAGTGCATCTCTCTCTCTCTCTCT